ATACACACTCACGTAATGCAATGCACATAACACACTCACACACACTCATACACAGAATCAGAGAGGCAGAGATGGAGAACTCAACAACTGGCCAACAGGACAACAACAACAAAAGAAGAATACTCATGGTGTTTATTGTACAGAGGAATAAGGAACAAGACATGATGTTAAACTAGGAAGGTTCTCTGGAAGATGAGAGTTTTCATCTTTTCACTGAGCATGAACTATGGGCCAAATATTTTGATACAATCCAGAGGTATAAACTAGTCCTCCTCTCATGGTGACTGTTCACTGTGAGCCAGAGGAAACATACATATAAGAAGACAGTGGCCAAACCGAATTAAACTGATTTGATCAGGGTAAGCACAGAGACCATGGGTATTAAGGACACTAACTTTCTCAAGGGGAAATGAGGTCCCAGGGCCTACTTCATCTCATCCCACCTCTGTATGGGAAGTAAAGGCCACTTCCTCCAAAGTCTTCAACCAAGCCTGGATGTCAGTTACTGGAGCAAAACCTCAGGCTAGGTGACATCAAGGCTGACTTCAAGGCTGACATCAAGGCTTGGAGCTTCTACCAAGCCTCGAAGGTTCAGAGGAGGGACCAGGTCCCTTCCTTGGAGAGAAAACAGGAAACGCAGTCCAATTTGACCTCCTGAGCAGGTTTATGAAAATGAAAGTTATGGCTTTCACTAGAAAGCCCCTTAGTTCCTCAAGGGTTCTAGTTCTGACATCCTTACACAGAATCTGCAGGCAGAGCTGTCTTGATAGGTATTTGGCTTCCAGGTAAATCATTTTCATAAGCTAGGAAAGAGCTTAGACAGGAATAAAGCCTCTAGCAGGCTCAGGATGACCTAGGTCACCAAAAAGTCATCCAGTAGCATCACTGGATTACTTTCACACTCTGCAGTGCACACTCTGATATGCATCGACTTACTACAGTCTCATAACCATCTGATAAGGAACATGTCATTAGTTACCTCCAATTTACAGAGCCAGAGGCAGAAGACTGGGAAGGCAGTAATTTGTCCAAGAAAGCAAGTAAATCTCAAAGCTGGAATTTTGAACTCAGATATATTTCTAAATTCTCTGCTTTTTACTCTTTTCCGGGTGAGTTCCTATAAATGTAGTCCCTAGGATCAAGAATCTAACAGTTAATCAAGAGATGAGAGGATAATTATTTTCCTAACATCCCTGACATTTCTGAGAACATGCAATATGCCAAACACTATTCTAGGTGTTAGAGATGTAATAATGATTCAGGAAAACAAATCCTCTCATGTGACCGCTCAAATATGAGACATCAGCAAAATCCCTTCATGTACTCTCACTGACTCCCATGTTACTCAACCTGGAACCATCTAAATAATTCTTCTTTCACTCCAGGTCTCAGCATACATGAGATTAGTAGTCTTGATTTGCCCAAAGACACCCCAGGTTGCCAGACAATCAGAGGCCACATATTGGCCAATAATTTTATTCCTTGTAATACTTGACTTCCTGTACAGTTTGAGTTAAGAAAACAGGTTATATGCTGTTTAGAACTATGTTGGCTGTGGTTGGATTTAATTTATTTATTTTTTCAAAACCTCTCTTTTTCAAATGAGGTATAATTTACATAAAATAATATATAGGTACATAAAGTGTACAGTTTGATTTCTGATAAATTTATATACAACAATATAAACACCACCTCAATCAAGATATGGAGTATTTTTATAATCCCAGAAAGTTCCCTTGTGTTTCTTCCAGGCAATACCCTGGCTTCCCAGGAGACAACTTAGCATGGAGACAACTGCTATTTGATTTTGAATCACTTTGGATTAAATTTACTTGGATTAAATTTTAGAAGTTCATATAAATGGAATTGTACAATATGTATTCTTTGTGTCTGACTTCTTTGGCTCAATATATTTTTGAGATCCATTCATGTTGTTGTGTGTATCAGCTGTTAATTCTTTTTTATTACTAAGTAATATTCCATTGTAGGAATATGACAAAGTTTAACTATTTACTTTTGGACATCTGGGTTGTTTCCCTTTGGGGCTATTATGAATAAAGCTGCTATAAATATTTCTTAACTTAGAATTTGGATTTCTGTATCGGGGGTTAGTGTATGTTTAACTTCAACAGAACCTGCCAAATGGTTTTCCAAAGTGTTTAATACCATTTTATAATCTCACCAATGATGCATAACAATTCCCTGTTGTTCCACATCCTGTCCAACCCTTTATATTGTCATTCTTTTTTAATTTTTTTTCCATTTTAGCTATTCCAGTGAGTATGCTCACTGTTGTTTGAATTTGTATTTTTCTGGTAACTAATAATGTCGAGCAACTTATGTGTTTACTGTCCATGCATATGACTTCTTCTGTAAAATGTTTAAGGTCTTTTGCCCATTTTTAATGAGGTTTTTTTTGGGGGGGGGGTTGTTATTGATTTGCACTAGCTGTTTATATACTGGATATAAGTCATTTATCAGATAAACATAGTGAAAATACATTGTCCAATTTTGTGGCCTGCCTTTTTATTTTCTTACAGGTATCTTTTGATATAAAGAAAGTTTTAGTTATGACAAAGATCAAATAATCAATTTTATTCATGGTTAGTGCTTTTTTAATATATATTTAGCTTTTAATTTTAGGTAGATGATCCAACACAAGTAATAATTGTGTATGGTGTGAACAGTTCAAGATTTATTTTTCACATATGGATGTCCATTTACTCAGCATTATTGGTTAAAAAAATTTTCTTCTCTGAATTGAATTGCCTTGGAAACTTTGTCAAAAATCAGTCAACTATTTATGTGTGGATATATTTCTGTATTTTCTTTTCTCTTTCTTTTTTCTTTTTATCCTTATGTCAATACTGTACTGTCTTAATAATGATAGCATTATAGTAAGTCTCAAAATGAAGTACTTTTTCTTCATTTGAATCCTTCAGTCCTCCAACCCTCTATTTCAGTGGTTTTGGCTATTCTAGGTTCTTTGTATTCCCACATATATTATAGAATTAATTTCTTCATTTATACAAAAATTATTGCTAAAGTTGATTGTATGATTTTTTTTCTTCAATTCTATTATACTGGC